TACTACTTCTAAGGTTAAGGGAAAGCCTGTTTCTTTATGTTTTCATTAAATAAAATTAGTTGCCCTTTCATACGCTTTTGTTTCTGCTTTCTTTCCATGAATCTTCTGAACTTCTAGTCCCTTGCCCCTCCCCCCCAATCAAAACAAAATACTCCAGCCTTCTTGCCTGTATTGTTCTTTCCTTGAAGTCTTAGAATCAGCTGTTCTTTGACCCTCCTCATGCTTCACAAATCCCTCCCTGGACTAAAGTCACTCGTGTGTCATTTCTCACTGGTTCTGTTAAACTGATCTGCACCCTGGGAAGGGAAGCTCTGTCCCGTGCAGGGTCTCAGTGGATCCTCAGTCAGAAAAGTGACCCCTGTTTCAGTACTTTTTTTAATGTAAAAAGATTTGTGTCCATTATATAAATAAAAGTTCTGTTGGTGAAATTTTCTTTCTGATCTATTAAAGAAATGAAAGAGATAAAAGTCATCATTAGTAAAATACTGTATGAAAAAGCAAAATGAATGATAACACCCCCATATTATTTGGGGGTAACCTATGTCTGTATGTTGTAGGTTCCCTGTGGCTTATTTAGGAATACTGAAGAGTTACCATGAGATACAAAATTTTTCATGAAATAAATGAAGATTTTCAGAAGCAGTTATATGACTGCACTTTATTCTTCATTGTTACCACTGTTCTCTCATACTCTGTTCCAAGGTTAATTATATATTTGAAGGTAAACAAAAAAAAATTTTTTTTGGCTTTAAAACTTTAAGGGTATTGGCCCAATTATTTTAGTCAAATATTTGCCAAATGCGTATGTTAAGGAAAACATATGCTTAAAACTTTTTGCCATTCTTCATATGCTTTAAAAAGTTTATTTGATAATTGCATTTAATTGGACAATAAGCTTTAGTTGCTATTTTGTCAAAATAAAGCCTGTAAGGACATGTCGGAATTACTAGCCAATTAATTATACCACCTTAAGAACCTGTTTGGCCTGGGAATCTAATTTACAAAAGTGACTTATTAACTCTTGGCTGATTTTGCCATCCGCACCTGGACTCCTGCACACCATGTTTTATCCAGTACTCATTGGACCATGATAGCATAGTTATGATACCATGGCTTAGTACATCAGTCCTCCTTATTCTTGGATTTCATATTTTCAAATCTACCTACTTAACTAAATGTATTGGTAACCCCAAGATCAGTACAGTGATTTTATGGTCATTCATGTGTGGGATAAGGGTGGAATTTGAGTTGCCCAACTATGTTCCCAGCTGAGGTTGAACATGGTGACAGATCTTCTTATTTCAGATCTCATAGTCTACACATGTCTTTTTTGCTGTCCATTTAGTGCCACATATTCTGCATTTTTGTTCTTTTAGTTGGCAGTTTCTCTGTTTAAAATGGCTCCACGTGTAGTGCCGAAGTGTTGTCAAATGTTTCTAAGTGCAGGAGAACCTTGATGTACCCTATGGAGAAAATACTCTGTTAGGTAAGCTTCATTCAGACTTGAGTCATAGTGCTGCTGGCTAAAACCTCAATGTTAATAAATCAACAATATACTTATTAAATAAGGCATCTTTAAACAGAAACACACATAAATCAAGGTTATGTATTGATAGGTTAATGAAACTATGTGGCCAGAGGCTGGCAGGAACCCAGCCTTGTATTGGCTCTAGCAGCAATGGTTCCATATTCTCTCTCTCTTTTTTTTTTTTTTAGCATAGTCCGTTGCAGTGTTACAATTTCTGGTATACAGCACAGTGTTCCAGTGATACATATACACACATGTATTGTTTTCATGTGCTTTTTCATCAAAGGTTATTATAAGATTGAATATAGTTCCCTGTGTTATACAGAGGAAATTTGATTTTTTTATTCTATTTTTATATATAATGTCTAACATTTGCAAATCTCAAACTCCCAAATTTATCCCTTCTCACTCCGTTTCCCCTAGTAACCATAATATTGTTTACTATGTCTGTTGAGTCTGTTTCTCTTTTGTAGATGAGTCCATTAGTGTCCTTTTTTTTTTTAGATTCCATACATGAGTGATATCATATGGTATTTTTCTTTCTCTTTCTGACTTATTTCATTTAGAATGATGATCTCTAGGGTCCATCCATGTTGCTGCAAATGTGGCATTATTTTATTCTTTTTTATGGCTGAGTAGTATTCCATTGTATAAATGTACCACAATTTCTTTATCCAGTCACCTATCACTGGACATGTAGGTTGCATCCATGTCTTGACTATTGTAAATAGTGCTGCTATGAGCATTGGGGTGCATGTATCTTCTCGAATTAGAGTTCCCTCCAGACATATGCCCAGTAGAGGGATTGCTGGATCATATGGTAACTCTGTTTTCAGTTTTTTGAGGAGTCTCCATGCTGTTTTCCATAATGGCTGCCCCAAACTGCATTCCCACCAGCAGTGTAGGAGGGTTCCCTTTTCTCCACAGCCTCTCCAGCATTTATCATTCGTGGACTTTAGAGTGATGGCCGTTCTGACTGGGGTGAGGTGATAACTTCATTGCAGTTTTGATTTGTATTTCTCTGATAATTAGTGATATTTAGCATTTTTTCATGTGCCTATTGGCCATTCATATGTATTCATTGGAGAGATGCTGGTTTAGGTCTTCTGCCCATTTTTTGATTGGGTTTTTTTTTGTTGTTGTTAAGTTGTATGAGCTGTTTATATATTCTGGAAATAAAGTCTTTGTGACTCACATCATTTGCAAATATTTTCTCCCATTTCGTGGGTTATCTTTTTGTTTTGTTTATGGTTTCCTTTGCTGTGCAACAGCTTATGAGTTGAATTAGGTCCCATTTGTTAATTTTTGCTCCTATTTCCATTGCCTGGCTAGACTGCCCTAGGAGAACATTGCTAAGATGTATGTGCGAGAATGTTTTGCGTATGGTTTCTTCTAGGAGGTTTATAGTGTCTTGTTTTGTATTTAAGTCTTCAAGCCATTTTGAGTTAATCCAGTGTTCCTGGCAACCTTACAGAACATAATCAGTGTGAATAATGAAAATTAACTGTATTATTGCTAAATGTTAGGGCTTTGATGTCAGTCTGGTTTTAATTTTTAAACATTTTCTTCTCATTTGTAAATTGTGGTCTGCATGTTTAGAGGACTGATGAAGTACTTTCCTAAGCAAGGTATGAATGTCCTTCTCAATCTACTGCTCTTATAATGCAGCCTCATAGGATCTAGGGTTAGATTGGGTAGTGAAAAAACAGCTCTGGGACAGAGGAAAGTCTTTGATTTTTAGGAAATACAAGTTTTTCAAATAGGCAAGTATTTTATTGGATTGTATTTTAGTATCTTAATAAAAATGTAGGTTCTCCCAGGGGATATTTTCAATATCTATTGTTACCAAGAGTTTGATTTAAATAATAATTATTTAATGAATAGATGAAATTACACCTTAAATCCAGAATCTAGCAGGCAATATCTTTTTTCTATAAAAACTGCATTATTTTAAATAAAACTTTAATACTTGGCCTTCTCATATTCTTTGTTTTAATGGCATTCATTTCATATTTTAAACATGTATGTATGAAATCTGAAATCAGAACTGTCTATAAACTTTTCCAGAGTTCTTTGTGTTTATAGGGTTGGTACTGTTTTTGTGTTGGTTTTTGCTTCTACTGCCTTGTCCTCCTAAATTTCTTAACGTTTTTCTCTATGAGTTATATACTACTCGAGAACTCAGGTATTTGATATTTTTAGGGAATTTTAAAGCAACATAAAAGATTTTTTCTAAAATTCATGAAACTGATAGTTGCATGTCATGAATTTAAGGCCTGCTTCTGCAGTCACTCAGCTTAGTTAAAGGAAATCATTTAACTCTTTTGATGAGTTAAGAACAGACCGAATGCCTTGGAAATCCACTGTGGTTTAGAAATTACAGGACTTGATGCTGTTACAGAGTCCAAACACATTCTGCTTGCTACACGACAGGCCAGTAAATCAGGAGACAAGGTGTTGAGGCAAGGAATAGTGACTTTATTTGAAAAGCCAGCAGACCAAGAAGATGGCAGACTAATGTTTTGGAGGACCATCTTACTCCAGGCAGAATTCAGGCTCCTTTTATACTGAAAAGGGGAGGGAGTGTGATTGGTTGTTGCAGACTTCTTGGTGTAGGAATTCTTTGTTCTTATTGCTGTCCATGTGGGTCAGGTCATGGTGCCTCTGTAAAACCTCTAACAAAACAAATGTTATTTTTTATTCTGCAACTTGTTATGTTTATATAGGTGCAAAGGTGTTAATATCCTTAAAGGTCAGAGCTTGAGAATAGGTTCTCCTGTATATTTCAGGCTAAAGGCAACATTGTTTTACAAAAGGTGCAGAGCTAGCAAGACTGAGCCTAGAAAACAAGGCACAGGGTTAAAACCAAAGAAACAGATCTAATACGGAGTCAGATTCTTTTCTCTTACAATGCTTGAGTATAAATTAATACGTTATTTCAGAGGAATCAAAAAGCTTTTTTCCTCTCACCTCCTCTTCAATTGTCTTGTCTCCTGGCCCGTGGGCCCTGAGTTTAATGGTGGCTGATAGGGGGTTAGAATCCGGTTCCTCTTCTTCTTAACTGTGTGACCTTGGAAACTACTGAGTTGATTTCCCCTTAATACATCTGTTCAGTTTATCAAACCTCTTTGAATGCCCCTGTTACTAGACCCTTTGATAGCCACCAAGGGTACAGACATGAAAAGAAACCATCCCTCTGATCTTAATCTCAATTTCGAATCCAATAGAGAAGATAGACAAGTAACAAGTCATTGTAATAGAGTGTCAGAATAGAAGAGATATGTACCAGATGGGGGGTGGGGATTGTTTGTTTTGCACATCTCAAAAAGCAGGGTTAATTCTTTGAGTCTGTTTGAGTAGCTAAGAAAATAGAAGAGAAGTTGCTCCTTGCCCAGAGTTGTGAAGAATGACTGGTAGTTTACCAGGTCCAAGTGTGGAAAGTGCACACAGGCAGAGCAGGGGCCTTTGCAAATGCCCACTGGCATAAAAGAACATGGTTTGTTCAGAAAACTTAAGAAGTATTGCATATAGCCAAAACACAGGATGTCTGTTTAGGTGCCAGATTTTGGGGGCTTCTATTCGTATGCTATGATGAGAAACTTTTAAAACATATTATAAAAATTCAAATACACAAAAGGAGAACATAAGATAATGAAGGACACTGACGTCAAAAAGGAAATTGATATTTTGCCTATATTTTCCTCTAGGAGGTTTATTGTATCTTGTCTTATGTTTAAGGAATACTGCTCAGCCATAAACACCTGGTGAACTTAGGATATGGCAACATAACGCCATTTGCAGCAACATGGATGCTCCTAGAGAATGCCATTCTAAGTGAAGTAAGCCAGAAAGAGAAAGAAAAATACCATATGAGATCACTCATATGTGGAATCTAAAAAAAAAAAGCATAAATACAAAACAGAAATAGTCTCACAGACACAGAACACAAACTTGTGGTTGCCAAGGGGGCAGGGGGTGGGAAGAGATGGACTGGGATTTCAAAATTGTAGAATAATTGATAAACAAGAGTATACTGTATAGCACAGGGAAGTATATACAAGATGTTATGGTAGCTCACAGAGAAAAAATGTGACAATATATATATGTTCATGTATAACAGAAAATTGTGCTCTGCACTGGAATTTGACACAACATTGTAAAATGATTATAAATTAATAAAAAATGTTAAAATAAAATAAGAACTTAGAAATGAAAAAAAAAGGAAATTGATATGGGAGTGGCCAGCTGGCACTGGCACTCTGTGTGACTGGCAAATTGTGAGGAAGTAGTAAAAATTTCTTTACTTTCTGTCGCTTATGTGTGGTGGTATTGCTTCCCGTCAGCCTCACTCTTGTGCAACTTGCATTATCTCCATCCTAAGTTCACCAGGCAAATAGAACTTTAACTTTGATGGAAAGAGAACCTACTTTTCTTATGGACATTAGTATATGGATACTCATCCTATTTATCCCTATTAGCTTATAAGCCCTTTGAGAGCAGAAGGTATGTATTCATTTGAGGGTCTTACTTTCACCAGTTAATTCAGAGCTTTGCACAGAATAGATATGCTATATATATTTATTAAAATGAATTAAGTTTCTGGCTTCTCTTTTGCTTGGTGTTTGTTCACCTCAGAGGTCAACTGTGGGTATATGTATTTCACATCACCTCTCTTCTCCAGTTTCTCCCAGAAAACAAGCTGTTCTCCCTCTCTTGCCTTTCAAACAGCACACTTAGGAACTTTGTTGGAATTTTTTTTGTAACAGGTTATGTTTGATGTTTCAAATTAATTCTGTTTGGAGGCCACTAAAATGAATTGGAGCATTTAGAAGTGCGTTTAGAAAATAAGAATTACAAGTAGTTGGGGGATCATATTATAAACCTGAGCTTTGCTTCTCTTTCTCCCTCTCCAGGGCCTGCTCTCGTTTCTGAGTGCCCCGCTCATAGGCGCTCTGTCTGATGTGTGGGGGAGGAAGCCCTTTCTCCTCTGCACTGTCTTCTTCACCTGCTTTCCAATTCCACTGATGAAAATCAGCCCCTGGTGAGTGGCTTGGCCCTCCATCATGACTGTCTCTTTTGGGTCACACGTGAACAGTACATCTGCAGAACACCTTTTAACCATTTCAGAGCAATTGTACCTGTTTTCATTTGAACTCGTTGGTAATACAGAAGGCCAGTAGGCAGTTGCCATCATGCCCATTTTATAAATGGGGAAATGAAGACATAGAATTAAGTCGAAGATAAGTTACTTAGGTGAAGAAATAGGAGTAAAATATGTCTCTGAAGGTGGCTGTTTTTGCTAGGAGGTAAGTCACAGGGTTGGGTCCTGGGAAGGGGGCTTGCTGCCTCAACTGTGGCTTGTTTTACCCTGCACATGTGTTGTTTTTGTCAGCTCATTGCTCTAGGGCACTGGCATGAACATAGTTTATATAGAAAGGCAGGAGGCACTTTTGTGTGTACTGTATTAAGACCAGTCGTTTATTCTAAATCGTAATATGAATTTTAGTTCTCATTTTTCCATGATCAAATAGGGAAAGAATAGTTAGCTCTTCCCTTCCAGTTTTCATGCTGCTGCCTCTGTTACTTATTTGACTGATGAATTATGTTACATAGAAGAGATGACTGTGTACCTGTCTTCCTCATGTATATAAAGGAAATGGAATGTTTCATCATTAAGTATTAAGCTAGCTTTGGGGTTGAAAAATACTTGCTCCTATTTTATTTAGAGATTTTCCTTTTTTAAATCAGGGTTGAATGTCACATTTTATTAGACGCCTTTTGCATGAGTGGTGATCAGTTGAACTTTCTCCTTAGATCTGTTACCATAATGAATTATATTAATAGATTTTTAATATTGAAACATCCTTATGTCCTAGGATTAAACCCTACTTTTTGATCTTTGAGATTGTGTTTGCTAATATTTTAACTGGACTTTTTTAAGCATTTATGTATATGAAAGATTTTTAGTCTTAATTACATTAATTTTTAAAATACTTTCTGCTTTTGTATTTATATCTTTTCTTAGCTAATGCTAGGAAATTTAGAAAGTTTTTATTACTGTTCTGGCTACCTTTAAAGCTGTAACTTTAATGAATACCCCTTACTCTTTAATTTTTTTAAACTGCATAATAATGACACCCCTTGAGCAATGACAGAATTAGTATGTTCCTGCTTCTTCCTGTTCATGATGATTATGATTTTATTATAATCAGTTTTTGTTTTTAAATATACATGCACTTTTAAATTTAATTTTTGGTTTACAGTCTTTACGTGGTATCTTTGACTCTGGTTATAAACGTATGTATATGTTACCGCTCTTATGGGTACTTACAGTCATCTTTTTATAGGTGGTATTTTGCGATGATTTCCATGTCTGGAGTCTTCTCAGTCACGTTCTCTGTGATATTTGCCTATGTAGCTGACATCACCCAGGAGCATGAGCGAAGTACAGCTTATGGATGGGTAAGATAACAGGTTATGTTTTTTAACCAGAGAAATAAATTACTAAAAATTCACTGGAAATTGAGACTTAAAATAAGTGTTAAATATTGACTTACATAAAAGAAAATCTAAAGCAATTGAAATGTAAAAAGAGACTTACGAGAAGTTAAAAATAATAAGATAGAAATTGCTAGTAATTTATTCTCTGCTTTTAGGATTAGAAGATAGGCAGGAATGTGTGAGTTGTCAGTTGCAAAGTTTTTATAAAATTGTTTCAATTTGTTTCTTGTTAGCTGATCCCTTGAGGAACCATAGACAGTAAACAGGTGCTAAGATGGTAAGTCTCTGGGCACCTAATTAGCATTGGAGAGGCAACAGAACCTCAGCCATGTTAATCCATTGTTACTGTATTGCTCATTGTGTGACTCAGGCACTAAGTTGGGACATGGTACCGCAGAAAAAGTCATTCGTTCAGTAGATAACTGTTGAGTGCATAACAAAATTTATAGGAAATCTTTTTACAGGATAGTTGAGTATTAGACACATCATTTGTAATTTTCTTAGGCAAGATAATGGCACTGTGGTTATGTAGGAGAAGAGAGACCAGTAGAAGATGGCAGGCTGAAGCCCTTTAGTTTAGAGTTCACAACTCTGAGAACTGCTTAAGTGGTTCATGGGAAAGAGACGACAGGTGAGCATTTGTGGGTATGTGTTCAATGCGTGAACCTGTTGGGGCATGTAGGTGTTGTACAGGAAAAATGTCCCCTTTTTCCCTTCAGGTTCTTTGGCTAGCATAATAATTAAGTTGACATAAGACAGATTAACAGGAGAAAAACATTTAATTTTGTATGTATAGGAGTCCCACAAAGACATGAGAGACTCAAGGGCAGTCAAGTAATTGGGGCTAATTAACCATCCTGAGCTAAGGAGGAAAGAGGGTAGGGGCCTGAGGCTCCAAAGGAGAGGAAGACAGCTCACAGGAAGATGAGAAGAGCAAATTAGCACCTGGTACACAGATGTCTGCCTGCCCCGCGGGGTAAGCCATTCTGCTGGAGAGCTACCTTTGGAGTTGTCCCTCCTCCCAGTGTGGGCTGCCTCTCTAAATTCTTTTAGGCTGTTAAGGAAAAGGTTAAAAAGTGTTTCCTGCGTCTCCTGGGTCTTAATTGCTTTCAGCTCGAAACAGTCCACATGCCAAAATGGCACATTTTGGGGTGGCTTATTCTGCCTTCAGTGTGCATTGTGCTGTTCTCTCAACTTTCCTGTGTTTAAAATGTTTACAGTAAGAAGGTAGAAGAAGAAAGATGATCTGGCTAAGTTGTTGAGTAGATTGAGGGGGGTTGAATGCCAGAAACTCAGGTTACATCTCCCCTGAGTCTCATTCTTTGTTTTAAATGCCACTTCCTGAAAGATAATTAGTCAATTCAGTGTTGACTGACTGAATCGTATGAATCAGTGATGGACCTGTAAGTCGGTTAACTGCTCTTCCACAGCACACAACAGCAGTTTTTACTTTGTTGAATTTAGATATCAGCAGTTTAAAAACACCTCCTTTGACCCCACTTGCCCTCTAGCTACTGCCTGCTCTCTTCTTCCTTCCCTTTTTCCCCTCCTCCACCCAGTGACTCTCTTGTCATGTCCTAAAACAGGGCATCTCCAGAGAGCTGTGGAAGGGACAGAGGGAGAAGCAGATAGGAAGGCTTCAGAGAAGGCAGGTGGTTCAGGGTGGGCCCTTAAGGGCGGATGCGGAGTTGAGCGGTGCCGAAGCCTCGTTTATCCTGCTTGGGCGGCTTTTCTCAGCCTCGCGGAAAATGCACATTGAGATGCTCGTTGTCTCCAGTTTTATTAGATTGTTGTTCCTTGCTTTCACCAGAAAAATCATTGGCAAAGCTGTTGCGCTAAGCAGCAGTACTTCACGATTTCAGAGAGAGTTCTGGAACCAGAGGGATCAGGACTTAGTCCCCTGTCTCTTGCTCAGTTCTTCATTTGTAAAATGGCAGTTACAATGAGGTCTGTTCGCAGGGATGTTGAGAGATGTTAGTGAGAGGAGCTCCCTGCGGAAGTGTGCCCTTGGCCACCACGTGAGCCTGCATGGACTTGTTCACAGGACTCAGGATTTGGCCGGTGATTAACCTTTTCATTTACCTCTGACTGTCAGGAGTTGAGATGACAAAACTGAAAAAAGAAAAAGAAAACAAGCTTGAAGTCTATCTCTCTGACAGATATAGGAAGATTTATTGCCAATTAATTACAAGATCATCAGTCAAGTCCAGCTGAAACTCTGAGGAGCATTTTGAGATCCGCTGAAGAATATGTATGCCTTCGTTACTGAAACTCCTCCAGTAAACCAAAAAAGTGGTCATTCTTTCAGTGGCTGCAGTAGTGAAACTATATGAAGTGACTTAATGCTCATTGAGACTGTTGTGGTGAAGTCATCCTTTAGATTTGCTCCTCAGAGTCATATGAGTGTTAAGTGAAAGAAGGATTTTGATAAATTCACAAACTAAGCAAGTAGGCTGCTTTGAGTTTTAAGAAAGACACAACATTTTACATAGAATTTCATGGAGTCGTAGAGCCCAGAAAACCATTTATTCATTCAGCAAGTATTGATTGAGCATCGGCTAGTTGAGGGTTACGTAGCTGATCAAATAGAACGACTAGGAAACTGCTGCTGCTCCCTGCCCCCTTCCTGATATTTGAAACTTTTATTTCCATATTCTGTGTGATTAAATTGGCTCCCAGAATATTCACTATTATATATTTTAATAACAGATCTTCCCACTAAATTTGTGGTTTCTCACTGTTGCTGTATTTACGTGGTAGTTCTGTTTTACTTTTTGCGTACTTGAAGAAATTAAACTAATCTTTCAAGTGCTGTGCCCACTTCAGGGTACCACTAAGAGAAGGGAGGGAAGAAGATGAGGGTATTATAGGTGGGTATTAGCAGAGGGAAGGACGGCTGGAGGAAATCCTGAGCACCGTAGGACCTAACCAGATTGAGCTGTGTTAGGAAGGGGGTTTGGACCTGCCCCTCAGTGTCTGAGAGCATTTGCTCTGCGGTACCTTCTAAGTTATGAGCCTTTCAGCTCTTCAGATACATCGACTTGTAAATTATAGTGCACATTTCTTCCTCTGTTTTGCAAGAGTTAGAGTCTCATCAAGGTTTCGTTTCTGCTTTTGGTAGTTTTAGGTTTTCTCTGTGGCAATTTACAAATATTTGAATTATGGAAATACCACAAAATAGGGCACTTTTTCCTCAGAGCAGTATTGCAGGGTACATTACATGGATGGGAAAGATGAATTTAAAAGTTTACCATGGTTTGGAGTGCATCATTTATTAATGAACATGAATCTCATAATCAAGTCATTCTTTCTCCTTTGCATCTGAAGCAGTTACTGAACCCCTTTAAATTTGTAGGGGAGTGTAGTAGAAGGCAGTCATTTTCTACTCAAAACTAAAGTATCAAGTGTGTTTTTATATATTAAATTATTGTTATATAGATAATAACTTAATTTCATTGCTCTTAATGACCAAATCTTGAGTTATTGAACAATCTTTATCTTAGAAAATGTCCAATTGTATAGAACAGAATTATGATAGTAGAGTCTTTTTGACTCCATAATGTCTTTTTGATCTGCAATGAAATAAATGATTGTTTTCTTCTGTCTACTCCATGATCTTTAGGTCGTTTGCACTTGGAATGCTGTGGAATTACAAAAAGCAGTTTCAGCTGAAATTTAGAAGCTTTAAGGCTGACTGTGCATTTTAGTGAGAAAGATTAATTTCAGAGATTGAAAAAAGGCTTCTAGTCCTTGTCATCTATGTGCACTTAAGACATTACTTCTTTATTTGTACATTGAGTCATAGAGTGTTTTCTCAGTGTACGTAGTCATTTGATAAGGATTAAGATAAGGGAATACTCTTATGAATAAATGAATGAATGACTCATTTTGTGCAGATACGATATTGTTAGTATTAGCACCTGAGGACCCTGCAGCAGTACTTCCATGGCACGTGAGGACGCCACAGCCGTGCTCCCCTAGAACTTAAGAATACTGCGACAGTGCTCCCAAAGCTGTTTGCATGACATTGCAGTTCATCATGTAGTTATGTTGCCTTGATCTTCTTAGATAACTTGAAAAAGCCCGAAGGGCAGGAGCTCTGTCTTCTTATTTATCTGGCACATAGTAAGTACTCAATAAATACTGAACCAAGGAATTCCCATTCCCCAAATTAAAATTCTCTATAACCCCACCTTATCCCCAGAAAAAAAAAATTTTAACTTTTGGTTTTTATACTATTTTTGGTTTAATACTAATTTCAGATGCATTGTATTTTTACATTGTGGGGGCGGCACATAACGGATGAATGAAGAATGGCATTGACTAGCCAGGAATCATCATTTCAATCATAATGCTTTCTGTAGTTTCTATTAAAAACCATTAGATGACCACTTATAAATGTGCTTTTCACACCTATTGGAGACTGTCCATTTCAGCTTTAGGAACATTCAGATTACAGTCCAAAATAAAGGGAGCATTCTACCTGCTGATGGGAAAAGAGTGAAACAGCTCCACATGGATTCAAGTTGCAGGTGTGGTCAGTTGGCTGTGTGGTCTCTGTATGAGGTGGAGGTTGGGGGTGACAGCATGAAGAAAATCCCCAGCCCAGGGGCCTGTCATTACAAAGCTCCGATGTCTCTCTAAACAGATTTTTTTTTTTGAAATTCTTTTATAGCCTTTTCTAAGACTGTCAGGGATTTTTTCCCCCTCTCGGTGCTAGTAAAATGGTCACCAAAAGGATGAAATGGTGAAGATAGTACATGTTTTTGGAAGATGAAAGTAAGATGAAGTTAAGCACAGTCCCTGAGTTATTTGTAGACATTTATCATCAGCCCTGCAGAAATGTTTTTGATACCTTTCTCTCTACATCCCCATTCCCCAGTTAGACTAAAGCGTGTATGTTTTATTTATGGAGAAGGTTTAACAGTTTTTATTTCTAAAATTAGGATCCTTCTCTTTTTTACTCATAGCTTTCTAGAATATCTCCAATTAGTTAATTGTGAACAAATCCTTAAAACAAAATTACTTAAATTCTCTTTCATTCTTAAAAGTTGTGTGCAACTCAATCCTTTTGTCTTTTTAAAGCCAAGGGAAGAATGGCTTTTTAGGTATGCACCTGTGAAACCCTGGATGAGAACAGGAGCATAGGTGTGCACCTGCAGCATATGGGCCCCTGGGTGACAGTGTGCTTTTTCCATAGGTCTCAGCCACATTTGCAGCCAGTCTGGTCAGCAGCCCAGCTATTGGAGCATTGCTCTCTGCCAGTTATGGAGACAGCCTCGTTGTGCTGGTGGCCACAGTGGTGGCTCTTCTGGACATCTGCTTCATCTTGTTGGCTGTTCCAGAATCTCTGCCAGAGAAGATGAGACCTCTTTCCTGGGGAGCTCAGATTTCGTGGAGACAAGCAGATCCTTTTGCGGTAAATACAAACACTAAAACATTTACTTTCTTACATACATCTTTCTGAGCTATGTAAATAAAAGAACATTTCTGCAGCCTCAAGCATCCTAGCAGTTGTTGATCCATTTTTTCTCTCCAGTAAAAATAGAAAAAATTTAATTGCCAAGTAAGGGACTGAGGTACGCTGTACACCAAGGAGTATATATAATTCATACTTCTTAAATCCAGCATGTGGTTATCATAAGGGAAGGGACAAGAAATTCTTGTCCGGTTAATTCTCGACGAAGGCTTGAGAAGGAAGGTTTTTTTTATTTATTTTTGCAGAGTTTTCATCCCTTTTTTAAAAAAAAAGAAAACAAAATAAATGAATGTAGCCATTTGAAATGGTTGTTTTCATTCACTTAAATTCAAAAGTGTTAAATGTATTTGAACTGACTGAAGTAGTTATTTTCTAAGTTAATATACACCCACTTTGAACAGAGATTTTAAACTTATCTTTTACACATTGGATGGATTCTTTGTTTTCTATTTTTTTGTTTGTTCTTTGGCATAGGGGAATTCCATTAACAACGAAAAAAAGTGCTGAGAAAAAGAGTCTTTCCTCTCCATCTGGTTTGAAATTGTTCTTGAAGGAAATATGTGCAGAAAAAACCCACTAGCGATTTGATCTTTGCTTTCTATCCTCTAAGTTTATCTTTTAGGAAAAATACATGTAACAGAACTAACCCATGAGAAATTCTTTTCTAAAAAGTTCCCTCAGTGCATGAGCTGGGGCCCCTGCTCTTTCTGTTTGTGCTATGATGTCAGACATCAAGAACTAGGTGTGGTACTCGCTTCTACAGCACATATACTAAAATCAGAACGATACAGAAAAGCTTAGCATGGCCCCCGCGCAAGGATAACGCACAAATTTGTGAAGCATTCCGTATTTTTCTGACTATACTTCAACAACAACAACAAAAAAATACAGAAAAAAGAAAGAAATAGATGTGGAGAGAAGAAAACCAGGAGTGGAGCCAGTGAGACGTCTAACCTTCTTGTCACGTGGCGGTCAGTCTACACATGGAAACCCTCTGTGAAACAGAACTGTTGTGGCTTACCTTTCAGGACTGTTGTGAGGATTGCAGTGAATATATGTAAATTAACCAGTCCCGTGTCTGGTGTATAGCAAGGTCCCAATAGACATTGGCTGCTTTTGCTTTTAATTATATGAAGGTTACAATTATGATGACGTAAAATGCACTGCAGCTCTCTCCACTCCATGGACCACTTCTGGTGCACCTTTGGTCTACTCAAACATCTTATGTAGAGAGGAATAATGTAAGGAGTTTGGAGAAGGTTGTGACATTCAAAAAGTTTTTACTGGTCAGAGAATCTTGTTGTCACTGACCCCATGGCTGGAGCATATTTATTTGACTACCAGTTTTACAGGCAAATTTAATATTAACATTTTAAAGAATAGAGTCAGTTTTTGTGTAATGCAAACCCTGTACTGTTTATGGCTTTAAGAGAGTTGTATTGTGAATGAAAGAGAGAGATTAGATTTTCTTAAGAGGTTCCAGAGCAATGTTTTTTACGGTCTGTTCATGGTTTGTTCAGGGTCTGTCTCAGGATGTGATCCAGTATTGTTAACAAAGATAAGTAAGTGTTTTTTAAAAAAAGAGGGAGAGAAAGAGAGAAAGCTGTAATATTTGAAACATATATCTCTAGAACTAGGACTTGTAACCTCCTTAGAGAAATGACAGGTTTAATGTTAATGTTCATTTCGTTTTATAATTCAGTCAATGCATCTTTTGTTATTCCCCCTTAAGAGATCAAAACAAGCCAATATCCCTGAATATCAGTGACATTAGTATCTATTTGCTTTTTATGTGTTTCTCTTTCTGCTTATTCCTAGTCCTTGAAGAAAGTTGGAAAAGATTCTACCGTCTTGCTAATCTGCATCACCGTTTTCCTTTCATACCTCCCTGAAGCTGGACAGTATTCAAGTTTTTTCCTCTATCTCAGGCAGGTGGGTAGTGGGTGCCTAGTAGCTTTTGAACATGAGGAACATCGAAGTTTGGGATCTATCTAAAGGTATTTTGGGAAAAACAGTGCAGAGAAAAAAAATGTGTTAACTTGCTTCTAGTTACAAATGTATGTGCTGACATATAATTAGTAGTCAGGAGAGCTTTAGTGCTACAGTGTTTTAAAATACAATAAATGTTTACTGTGGAAAACATTTCCTTGAGAATTAACACTGAAAGAGAATTAGAAACAGAATTTGTCTTTAATAATACCCATTGAATTTCACTAAGAAGTGAAGTTTATTTCAGAAACACCCTGACCCGAGTCTGATCACAGCCAGCTGGCTGAGCCACCTAATGGCCAGAGCTCAGTACCACTAAGACTTCGAGGTGCTCACAAGCAATCATCAGAATAATCTTTTCTTGCTTCTGATTATTTTCTCTTTAAAAATTTATACTTTGTCCCTCCAAAAGGCATCTGACTTAAGGCAATTAAAAGAAAAAGTTTACTATTCCAGCTGCTACTTCAGACCTCTGGGATGGCTAAGACCTGATTCGCCTTCCAATGCAATCCTGCTTTGGTCTCTTACTGGTTTCACTGGAAGACCTTCTCCTAATGGTTTACTCCACTTTGTCAGAGCAGGCCTCCTCTTAGATAAATTCCTTTCATTTTAGAGATAGTTTTAAATACAATTTGTTAAATTCGCCATTCTCATAGCTTTCCTAAGAGTAGGAGAGTATAATATTTTATATGATAGTGTGTCTCTAAGTAAAACTTTTTTTTCAAGCATTTTTACTTGTCTTGCTTGTTTATGGTGGGTGAGTACTGGAGATTTAGAAGGAAAAGTGGTGAGATAATGTGCTTAATATAGAAAATTTTACATGCATTTGTAATGAAATTATACATTAAATTGCATTAAATATGTATTTAATGTAGAAAATAATATAGGAAAAGTGAGAAACCCCAAGGGAAAAAGTGAAAAAATTTGTCTTCGTCTTTCACGCGGATAATAAACAACTGAATATTTCTTTTTTATCCTTTTTTCCTATACATATGCTTATGTCACCACCACCACCAACAGTTGCAACAAATCAGAATCATTCTGCTATGTTGTATTTGTGTTCTCTTTTTAGAGCTCACACACAATCAACACACACATATTTTAGTTTAAACTGTATTTATTTGTAAATCATGTATTTGATAAGGAATTTGTATCCAGCATTTTTGTAGAACTTTACTCAATAATAAAAAGACAAATACCCCAACTGAAAATGTAGGCAAAGGATTCTGAGTACGTATTTTTCCAAGAAAGATATACAAATGGCCAATAAGCACATGAAAGGCCACTTAACATCATTGGCCATCAAGGAAATGCAAATCAAAACAGTAATGCTTCACTTTACACCTGCTAAGATGGCTGTAACCAGAAAGGCAGAGAAATGGGAACCCTCATACATGCTGGTGGGAATGCAGAACGGGGAAGCCACTGACAAACAGTCTGGTAGCTCCTCAAAGTGTTCAGCATAGGGTTCCCAGGTATATAGCCAAGAGAATCGAAAACACCTATCTGCACAGAAACTCTGACACAAATTACTATTCATAGTAGTCAAAAAGTAGAAACAACCCATATGCCTATGAACTAATGAAACAGATCAAGAAATGTGATATATCCATTCAGTGAAACATTATTTGGCAGTGAAGCACTGATACGTGCTACAACTTGAGTGAGCTTTGAAAAATCATGCTAAATGAAAGAAGCCAGGACCATATATTGTATGACTCCATTTGTATGAAGTGCTCAGAATAAATAAATCCATAGAGACAGGAAGTAGACTCCTGGCTGGGTGGCAGGGTGGGCTGGGGAAATGGGACTCCTACTGGGGTACCACGCATCTTTGAGGAGTGATGAGGTCTTCTAAAATTGATCATGGTGATAATTGCCCGACTCTGTGAATATTGTAAAAGTATCGAATTGTAACACTTGTAATGGGTGAATTGTATGTATTTAAATTCCATTTCAGTAAAGCTGTTTTAAAAATGTATTTACAAATTAAGCTGAGACATAGATTCCAATTTTTAAAAATTTCATTTGATTACAGAGTAATAGAATATTATTTTGGGAGCCAGAGGTTCTAGCTCTAACTCTTAATAGCTGGTTGTGTGACTTAAATAAAGTAAGACAGTTAATTTATGAAATGTGAAGGATGTATACAGTAATTCCTAAAGTTTTTTTTCTGAATTTTATAGAATTTCAGTAGAGGGCAAATTAACTTTAAAAACTTGGTATTTAAAACTTGAAAAGCTTTAGGCATTTCAGAGCTGCTCTTAAAGCTAAAAGGTGTAGAAATCACTGCCAGCTAGCTTTGGCTGCTCATTTGAATCATCATGAAAACTTTAAAACATACCTGTGTCTGGGCCCAGAAAGTCTGATTTAATTGTTCTCAGGTGAGTTCCAGTGTCTCATTTCTCCACTTTCCCCGCTTCACTCCTCTCTCCTTCTCTGTTGCCCACATGATTTTAGTGTTTAGCCAAAGTTGAGAGCCACTGACTTTGCCAATGAGCAGATTCTGTGTTGGCAGCATGAAAAATCAGATAATTTGCTTCGCATTCTTTCAATAAACGTTGTATTTGTCTCTTGGTGGGTTGGAGATGGGGAGAGATATGAAAATAATAGGTAGGCCTATAACTGAAAATATTGTCTTAATATTTAATATTTGTCAAATTAAGTTGTGCCTGCTTGTAAGGGTTTTTTATAAAAGATTCAGCTGTAAATTACTGGTTAAATAGCTTCAACTTTGAGCACTGCCTAAATTTGCCATTGTCAAGGTTTTATGAACTTGCCTCAGTTTTATTCTATGGCTTTAATAGAACATAACATTTCTTAACTATTTTTATGATATCTGTATTACAAAGTGTTTTCATTTCCACAGATCATAGGTTTTGGATCTATTAAAATTACAGCATTCATAGCTATGGTAGGAATTCTGTCTATTGTGGCTCAGGTGAGTGTCATTTTTACCCATCTTTTTTTTTTTAAACGTTTGTAATCGAAAAAAACTATCTGTGGTACAGCATCATACCTAGTAAACTGATCAACTGACATATGTACAGTCCACAGAACTATTCTATTTTTAATAGAATCTTGAGGTTGTGATTTAGGAGGAATTTAATATAGCTTGTCAGTTCTTTAATACTTGTAACCTCTAATGGGTCAGTTCACCAAATAAAAATTTGCTTTTACAACCACCAACCACAATCTAACTCCAGATATTGCAGAATTAACCAGAAGGTTGTTTGAATGTTATTTTGATGTTGAAAAGTAGTGAAAGCGAAAAGCAGAAATGAAAATTCATCACTATTAAAATCCTTGCTATCCCCGGGGCTGAAGAAATGTGGTAACTCAGTGCATAAGAATGTATGTAAACAGGATTTAGTAAACATCCCCATCTGTCATAACTATAGGACCACAAAGGGCAGGGCATGTGTTCTTTAAATTCATTTATTGATGTGTTTAGGTGCACTCACTGTATGGGACTGCCTGGAGGCCACTTCCCTGAAACAGCTACGTGCTGCTTTAAAGCATGGGAAGGCCAAGCAGAGCACTGCTTTGTGATAACTCTCCCAAGGAGAAATGAGAAGGCTGCGGAACTATTTTGCCCAAAAACTAGAATTGATAAGGCTTGTAGGAATGCATCAAACCAAAGGCCTTTTTTTTAAGCTGTATCAGCAAATGTAAATTATGTTAAATTTCAAGTTGCCTAGGATTTTGGTTTTTTGGGTTTTTTTATATTAACTGTGGTTAGTCGATTAGCTCACATTCATTTTTTATACTATGCCTTTTCCGACTATCTCAACTAATTTTTTTAGGAGAATATATATTTGTTAAAATCCCATTTGTATCAATCCAACTTTGTGAAACTGTGAACCCCATCAAAATCTCACATACTCTGTAAAGGTTCAGCAGGGGGTTGCTATTCACTGGTGGTTAAGTGACTGGCCTTTCTCCAAAGAGACTGAGGCCTGTGCTTCTCAATCCAGTAACTGTTGAAGGGCTGTGATGACCTTCTGTGAAGTGCTAAGCACCAGATAAACAGGTTTGTGGCGAGGCTGGAGGCCCTGAGCCCAGGTCAGTCTGGGGAGGCCCTGATGCTTCACCCCGTAGAGCTACGTCAGTGCTGCATTGTCTGCAAGGTCCCAGGTTGGGTGGTCTGCCCTTAGAGGTCCTTGGTTCCGTCTCTGTATGCATGATTCTCAGGATTACCCTTTTTGCTTTGCAGACTGCCTTTCTCACCATCTTGATGAGATCATTAGGGAATAAGAACACTGTCCTCCTTGGTTTGGGCTTCCAGATGCTCCAGTTAGCCTGGTACGGTTTTGGATCTCAGCCATGGTGAGCGTCTCCCCTGGATTCTCATGCACTAACAGATATTTATATCTTTTAGAGGAGCTCAAGTTAGTTGAGTGTGATATGAAGGAAGCAGGGGTTATTTTACTGGCATAATATAGTCAGCATTTCAAAAACTGTTTAGACTTGATTCGGGAAAAGGTAGAGCCAGATAATTTAGGATTATTTGGAAAGATTGCCTTCACCTCAGCTGGCTTTCAGTGAGTTGTTACTTTAAATTGAATGTGTGTATCTCTTCCTCTGACCTCCCCCCTCAAAAAGTTTTAAGTCTGATTCTTAAACACACTTGTCAGATTCGAGAGACACCATATATAGTCAAAAACAAAACAAGAAGACAAGGAAAAATGACTGATTATGACAGGGTTTACTGTCATAATGAGCTGAGTGACTCCGGATAGTGACATAGCCTTCAGAATATAAAGCATATGAGTTAGATGAACACTAAGATCTCTTCCAAAATCCTATGTACCTTGAGGCAGTTATTACTCCTCTGACATATTAGTCTCCCATAAAGACAGGAAGAAAGGTCAAATTAAGCCCCGTGGAATAAGAAGAAATAAAAAGAATTTTGAGTACTATTTTGTTAAGTGGCAAGTCTCCCTGTGTGCCTCGTTACCAAATACTAAGAGTTCATATCTCGATTTTAAATATTTGAGTTGGTCCCCATTTTGCGATCATAAATGGACAGCATTATTTAGAAAAATATGACATCCTTAAGGTGGTCAGTGGTTAGTTCTTCTTGTTCTTTGAAATCTTAATTTCAGTCACATGAACGTTGGTTCGGTAGCTGGTTCAGTCAAACTTATGCTACCTTAAAAAGATTGTGTCAACCTCAAAGGTTCCTCCTTTTAAGTAAGGACATGCATCTCATCCCCAAGACAGCCTGGCCAAGAAGGTTTTAAGCCCAGTTGGGGCCTCGCTTTCCTCATACTCACGCTTACTACTGACACACACATAGGTCCCTTTCACAGAGGTCTAAAGGAAGCAGCCTGGAAGTCCGCAGGATGTCTTGACCTTCAAGTCTATTTTTTCTGTTGGTGGCACACAATACTTTGTTGAGAGTTAGCAAACTGAGCAACTCAAGGGCAGTATGGAGGTAAGCCTTTGAGAAGTACAAAGAAAAAAGTGAAAAATTGGTGGGAGAAATGTGGTATTTATAGAAAAGAAAAATCCTTTTGAAGTTCATTGAGCTTCTGTCTACAAATGGTAATAGGGAAAGCCAGGAAGAAGAACAGATTTTGACAGAGAGAAAATAAAGAAATGAAACGTTCCCAGCCCGTGAAGGCATCAGTATTAATAGTGCGATGTATATAACCTTCCAGATTAAAACATAAATAAATCCATTTTTAAAGAGAGAAAAAATAAATAGAACTTAACACAAGAAAGCAAAGAATTTTGTGCTTTTGCCATTGCTCATGCTGTGAACAGCAGGCCCCCTGGTGCTGGCCTGCCCCCTGACCGCAGCCTGGCTTGCCATTGCAGGATGATGTGGGCAGCCGGGACCGTGGCTGCCATGTCCAGCATCACGTTTCCAGCAGTGAGTGCCCTCGTCTCTCGGAATGCAGAGTCAGATCAGCAAGGTGAGGTCACCGTCCCCCTCCCTGCTTTCCTCCTTCAGCAGAGGTGTCCCTGCCGGAAGCATGAGCAGCTCTGAGCCTCTCTCTCCACGTCTACAGAGCAAGGGGTCACAGCCACGTGGTCCCTGCTCAACAATCATTTCTATTTACTTTGGCAAATAGGAAGATTATGTATTCCTGCCTGATTCCATCTTATATTCATATTTTTGAGATCTGGACTCAGCAGATTAGAATACTGAGAGAAGTACAACTATCCATTTTCTCTCTTCAGTTTTGGCTCCTCTTTTATGTGTTACCGTCAGAATTTACTACTTGTAATAATCATATTTTAACAGATGTCTGTTAAATAATGATCGACTAGTAAAGGAATGAGTTCTTTAATCACTGTAATCACTAAAATTTCTTTAATTTGGAATCACTCAAAGTCTGCTACTCAATTTAGGAAATGATTCTTTGAGAGGATGAAGAAAAAATAAATCTGTAGTTCTTAATAATTGGATGCAGAGTGAGAGGCAAAATGAAGACGGTTATGTAGAGAGTAGCACTGGGCTGTCTAGACTTACTTGATCCTTCTTGTGACTTTGGCTTCCCTTTCAGGCAGGCCCTTCTGCCAGAATTAATCCTCCTCTGTCACTTAGTGGATCACTTGACTGTAGTCAGAAAGTAGTGAATTTTAAAAGAAAAAAATTTGGATGTTTTTAGAGACCTTTAAAAAGTTTCAATAAAAAAATAGATTGAAAAAGATAGTTTATTCATCGCACCTATTTTTCCTCATCAGAAATTAGCCATCTTATTCATATCTGCTTTTAAATAGTGTCATTTGAAGACCACAAATTCTGTGTCACCCTCATGATGGTAACTCGGCTGGCTGTGCAGCCTCGGGGAGGCACTGTGGTCATGAGAAGGCAGGAGCTATCTGGGGGGGTGAGCTTAAGCCTTGGCATCTGACAGACATGATCCTGTCTCTCAAGGCCTGAATTTTCTTTGCCTTTTTAAAATGCTTATATGTATTAATACAGATGTTTCTAAATGTCAGCATATCAACTTATTAGAACATTCTGTATTAAGTTGAATTATATTTGACCATTTTTGACTTCCCTAAACCTCCATCTCATATGGTTCAAGCTAATTTTTTACCTGCCATGTTAAAAAAAACAGCTATCTAGAAACTGACACTTCTGGGGACTTTTCAGTGCAGGTGTAAGGGAGATGGACTTGGAACATGGAGATCATCATGAGGAACACAATCTGTCCAGAGGTGCACGTCAGGACTGCTGTGGGCTCACACATGGGCAGGAAGACAAGAAGCAAAGGGCATATTTTTATTGTAAAAGCAGCACTCAGTGAGTAGAAGAGAAAAATCTCAGTCCATGGAGCAGTGGAAATTGGCCCATAAATGGAGAATATTAAGATTTTTTCTCCCCACATTAAGATCTGCTGTTATGGGGGAATTCAGCCTCAAAGGGATTGCAGAAACATCACTGTCATTTCATATCCATCTAGATCTTAGGACAGGGACTGAGGACAGTATTGAAAGGACATAGAAAACCAAGAAAACATTTGTGCAGTGAAGTGAAAATGTGATAGCTGAAGTCCCTGCAGTCCACTTGCCTCAACCCAGACCACTCAGTCCGGCTGACTCCGTATTTCATAACTTTTAAGAAAGTACTGGTAAATCTGCAACATGAGATGCTCTGGTGAGAAAACTAGCTCCCTTCTCTTTGTCGTGACTTAGGAGTTGCCCAGGGCATCATAACTGGAATAAGAGGACTGTGTAACGGCCTGGGGCCAGCGCTGTATGGCTTCATATTCTACGTGTTCCACGTGGAGCTGACAGAGTTGGAGCCAGAGCTGAATTCTAACAATGCTGCCCTGCAGGTAATTTGGTAATAAGTCTAATTCTATAACAGTGATTATGTCTGATTATAGCAAAATCTTCTGACCTTCAATTTGGACAGCATTCTTACTGTTACAGCATTACTGTTGTATTTGACAGCAGTAAGTGCTGTGTTCATTGCTTACCGGGATTAAGGAGGGATCATTTCAGTGATTTAATATCTTCTGTAAAAAGCTTGTCTTAACTTTGTTCAGGTTCTGTTTTCACCTACACAGTTACTCTGATCAGAATACTGTTCTCTGGTGAAGCCCAGGCCAAATAAAATATGAAACGACCTAAGATTCCAGCTAGAAATTGAGCTAGAGTATTTTTTCTACTATTTATTTGCTTCCAAGCTGTATTTAATATACATTTCTGTATAAAACTGGAATTAATGTTCACGTACAGAGCTCATGATCTCAGGTCACAGGGTGAGATAAACAGCTGTTGCTTACAAGTTTAGTTAAGCTGCTGGGGAGTGGTGCACAACGCAGTAATTAGTTGCCCCCATCATATTCCAAACCCCATACTGTTGTTAGTATTTGCCGTGACACTTAAACATTTGCTTATGAGAAAATAACTTACTTCTCAGTGGTGTGTTTTGGGTCATCTAAGACAAATTTTGGATTGAAAGACTAACCAAATTCTTCATCTTCATTTGTTTCCCATCAGGGAGCTGTCATCCCAGGTCCACCGTTTTTGTTTGGGGCATGTATAGTCCTTATGTCTTTTCTGGTTGCCTTATTCATCCCTGAATACAGCAAAGGCAGTGGAATCCAAAAACAGAGCAGCAGCATCAGTGGCAGCCTGAACAACGCCCCGGAGCGGGGCAGTGATGAGGACATCAAGCCACTGCTGCAGGACAGCAGCATCTGGGACCTGTCTTCCTTCGAGGAGCCTGGGAATCAGTGCACTGAGCTATGAACTGCGGAAAGGGAGGCTCTGCAGACGCCATCTCAGAGCCATGGCGGGGCCACACCACATGGGGACTTCATGGTGCTGGAGGGGAGATGCTTGCTAGCGGCATCGTTCAGGGCCGAGTTTGAGAAGTAACCACCTCCGTCCCTCTGTCTCCCTCCCCATCCTCCTCCTCTTCCTTTTCTACCATTCTTTTTCTTTCTGTTTATATGTGAGAACAAGATTCGAAATACTTCCCTGCATCAGTATGCAACTCTCAAAGTTATATGGAGTCTCACCTTTGAAACTCAAGCAGAAAAAGTCATCTCTGATAAAAAGGATGGCTTTCCTTTAATAAGTCCAGAGTAAGCGTGCCCATGGCCTTTTTAGTAGAAGATGCAGGATTGTAGTGCAACTGCCACCTCTGGCAAAATTTGAGATTAAAAATCCCATGTTTTCTCCCTTCCTGTTCCTCTGACCTGTGCCCTTCTAGCCCGTGGGTGTTTAGTGAGTGGCTGCTTTAAGAGTCACTCAGTATCAGGGATCTATTGCCTTTGTTCAAAGGTCAAGCGAAAATCTAGTCTACTCTCCTTTCCTTCTCTCTACTTCCTATTCTTGGCTGGAACAAAACTCAGCATATACACCTCTAGACATTAATAATATTGATCAGTGATAACCTTTACCAGATGAAGGGAAATTTTTTATAAATTCTAATCAGGAAGAATTAGCAACTCAGATTCCTGGACCTGATGTCTTAGTCAGATCCAAGGTGATTTTACCGAAGAAAAATACACTTGAAGCATTCTGGTAGCAACATAGAAATGGGAGGGTGCTTCTAAGGAAGTTTTTAACAATGTAAACATTCCGAAGTGAGGATGAGAGTTGATAGCTGGATACCAGAGGAGTTTACATCCAAGTTTAGACTCAACGTAATGCATTATTACTTTTTGCTCCAACCTACATTTCCTGTGTCCTGCTTCTCAATGTTCTCATTCATCACACCCCTGCCTTAACTGCTCTATGTAGGCATTTGTTTTCAGTCAGTCTTTATTTCCATCTGTTTATCTGCCTTTTAAATCTCATCGAGAATATGCCCAGTAAATTCCTTTCTAAAATATGACGGTTTAAGAAGCTCAGTTTCACAATGTGTCTTGCTAATTTTTTGAGATGTTTTCTGGACAAAGAAAACTTTACAGATTTATATGTATTTTGCTGCACCAGTAAGTGGACCATTAACTAAGGCCCGTCTTTAACAGAGCACTCCTTTGAAAGTTTTATAGGTATGAAATATATGTAGATATTCATAAGCAGTTTTAATTTTTTTGATGGGGTGCTGTGTAAATCTTGTATTTATAAATGTAATGAAGGTATTGACAAAAAATATATACAACTTTTATAAAGGATTGTGTACTGACTGAATACATTTAAAAGAAAATATATTTTGAAACCTGTTCTGCTATGAACAAAGATAACATATCTTTTTACTATGCTGTTGGTTTTTAAGTTAAGCTTCCTAATGCATAATAAAATTTCAGTGGATACTTTTTAGGTATTTTGTGTTTCTTTAAAGCCGATAATACCGTTGATCTTTGGGTTCTCCTTTGGGTGACTTTCAGCTGAAATAAGTTTTTAGTCCTTAAGCTAATGCAGAAGATACATGTATTTTCAAAAAAGTTTTATTTCAAAATCTCCCTTCAAAACGAGGTTTTTTTTTTTTTAGTTGAAGTATATAGTCAGTTTACAATGTTATGTCAATTTCTGGTGTACAGCATAATGTTTCAGTCATACATATACATACATATATTCATTTTCATACTTTTTCATTCTAGGTTACCACAAGGTATTGAATATAGTTCCCTGTGCTGCACAGTATAAACTTACTGTTTATCTATTTTATATATAGTAGTTAGTATCTGCAAATTTTGGACTCCCAAATGTATCCCTTCCCACCCCCTTTCCCCCCGGTAACCATAAATTTGTTCTGTATGTCTGTGAGTCTTCCTGTTTTGTAAATAAGTTCATTTGTGTCTTTTTTTTTTTTTTAGATTCCACATATAAGTGATATCAAGAGATAACTTTTATTTAAAAAAAAAAGCGAGGACACAACAGGACACTTGAACACGTTTATTAGCAGCGTCATTCACAATAGCCAGAAGGTAGAGGCAGACCAAGTGTCTGTTGTTGGTTGAATAAGTAAAGAAAATATGAAAGAAAGAAAAATGCCATATAAATTTTGTTATATGGCTATTGCTTTGTAATTAAGAAGAATCAAAAAGCCTTTTGTCTGAATAGATTTAGAATCTACCATAGAAAACTTTCCTTGAGTTTTCAAGTGACCAAAATTCAGTGAATTTATTACAATTTTTAAAAAAAATTACTTTCATTAATTTTCAGATGCCATTTCTTAGAATATTGAATGAATGAATATACTTCATCTTCCAGTTGGGTGTGGATCCAGTGTTCTCAATGAGTGTTAAGACCCTTATTCTTGGTGTAGCACTGATAAGCTCGCGTAATTTTGTGGGGGAAAGTAAACCTAACAATAGCAATTCAAATAAAAATTACATTATTCCCTTCCTGAAGAAGAGGAATAGGGAAAAACTAACTCCAATCCATTGCATTGCCCCAGCAAGTAGAGGGACCCCAGAGAAGAGTAATCTCGAACATCCTACCAGTTTACCTAAAAATGCAGAGCACAGGTTGGGCAAAGGATGGGGCTGTCCCTGATAATGTTCAGATACAAAAAAAAAAAAATCTTCAGGACAAAAAAGGAGTCAATTTTCCAATCCCAAGAGACAAGTATTTTCATAATCACTCCATGGAGGCCACCAGGTTGCAAGACAACTGAATAACCCTAGAAACATAAATGTCCACTAGACTCCTTAGCTCTTAGCAGAGTAAGTGGGCTCCCAAGAAACTACCCAGAATGCTAGAGTGATTTAGTCCTTTCCAGGGAACTCGTTCAGTCATCTGACTCTTAGTTATTGAGGGTTCCAACCATATGTATCAGGCATTGCTCTAGGAGGTAGGGGCATAGGATGACTAGGACAAAGGCCCTGTTGGGGGGAAAAAAAAAAAAAACTCCTGATGCTCTCTGTGCATCACTCCTGACTGTTCCCCAGCATCTTCTGAAATGCCTGTCACTGAACTAACTCCAGAATTTTGATGGATATAGTGGGATGATGATGATTACAAAAATAGCTTCCATTTGCCTTGTTCTACATTTCATCATTATTTCATTTAATTGTCACAGAAGTTCTGTTAAAGTCCTGTTGGAGCAAACAAAGCTGAAAGGTGTTTGTTCCACCCACCCCACTCCTCCGTGGAGAGAAGATAGTGGGCCAGAACAGCACCATCTTGGGCAGGGGCACTTTTCATTAGGTACTACATCTACTTTGATAGAGTGACACCAACTTCAAGAACAGGTTGTGAAAATGAAGAAAGAAACAAAAGCTTGCCAAGGGGAGAAAGGCTTTTCAAGTTACCTGACCTTAAAGATGTTGAAGCTGCTCAGAAAGTTTTCCTCCAAGAAAGACAGCTTGCTGAAGAGTTACTAGCCCAAGGTGACTACGAGAAGGATATAGACCATTTGACGAACGCAGTTGCTGTGTGTGGACAGCCACAGTGGTTACTCCAAGTGTTAACCGCAAACGTCCACCACCAGCGTCCCAGATACTTCTGACTATGGTTCCAACAGTCAGAGAATTGTACATGCTCAGATCAGACCTTGGCTGAAGATGATGTGGAGTGAGAAACAAATGTCAACATAATTATCTCAATTTAAACTACTTTAAATCTTAACTCTGAAGATGAGCAGCTCTGGGGGAGTGAGGGCAAATATGATTGTTATTCCTACATTGAAATCTACCAAAATTAACTTTTACTTTGTGTAGCTCCATTTGTCCGTTCTATTTATTTTTCCCAGTGAAAAGCGTATTTTGATAGCTTTTAATTGTATACATACACTGAGTTACTGAAATACGGATTTTGTTTATTCCTAAAATGTGTGTAACATCACACTACTTACATTAAAAAAAAAATACCCAGTGCTCAGTTACGAAAGGCCAAAAAAAGTACAGAAGAAAGTTGAAGAATATACATTTTTTAAAGCTAGTACATTTTGCTAAACATCAGAAAACTGGACGGAAACTAGATTGTGTTTATCAAAACTGAGCATTAAAATCCTTGAGAGATTCTTTCTTTCCATTTAATCTCTTAAATATGTGAGGTGTGCAGCTGTGCTTCAGTATAACTTCACCCCACCATGTGTATTGGTCTTGAAAAGTTTTTCTAAGTCAGTGAGCTTAATGTGTTTTGGCTAGTTATCTCCTTGTAGCTTAAATATACATTGTTGCAAATCGCAGCAGGAATTAGATGTACCACCCATCTAGCTGACTGAGCTCAATGTCTGCCCACTTGCCTTATTTATAAAATAAAAGAATTGATCTGCTAATTCAGACAAATCTCCCTTTCAGTTTCAAATTCCTTTGGTTCTGTTCAGTATCTCCAAATTCACATTCTTCTGGGGGATATATCTGGGCAGCTACACTTGCATTTTTTAATACTCTGACTTTTGGAAGCTTGCCTGACTTGGTATTTCTGAAATGATTTTTTTTAAAGGTATAAATTGTGTTGATTTTTCACTGCAGTGATGGTTGTCTCTACTTCTTTAAATTAATCTGAAAATTAACCTTCAAGTAAAAAACTGTAAATGGAGTGTAACCTTTAAAAATTATATAAAAATTTTAAATAGTAATTTAAAAAAAAACCCCACGTATTTCATTTTGACTCCTGGTGGGGAACTATGAGGGAGGCCTAAAGCCTGTGTTCACATAGACAGTTGAAACCACTGGTGAGCACTGGGATAAACGAGCTAGAATACTGACCACAGATATTATAATGTAGAGTGGTGTTAACAAGAGGGCAGACTGAGAAGTTCCAGGCTCTTTCTTCCATGAAAACAAACAAAAAAACACCTATTGATGGGCTAAAGTAAATTTATAGGAGCCCTGGAAAACAATTAAAAGGACTACAGCAACCAAGTGAATGCCCAGTCGATAAAAAGCCACATTCTAAATACCAGGAAACTTAATAGTGCTTTTACTCAGTTTGTCTCAACAATTTCCTGGTGTGATACAGCACAGTATGGTCTAAAGGAAGCAACAGCCCAGTTCCCGAGTCTCTCCATCGAAAAGGAGGGTGCAGAGTAGACTATTTGCAACATTCTAACCTGTTTGTGGGCCGCCTGAGAAATTGGTCTCTGTTTCTTTGAATTGAGAGCTCAGCTGGGGGAAGTAGCATAGTTTGAATTTCTCTGGGAAAAGCCATGGAAAACAGAAAGCATTGCTTTTGAAAGCTGGAGACTCACAGACACCTGGGGCAAGAGATGATTGGTGAAGAAATACAATAGAGCATCTGAGGCCCCGAAGAGAAGTTGGGGAGAGACTCTTTGGGAAATTAACCTTTAAAAGTAGCAGCATCTATGGGGAGTTGAGGGGGGAGGGGAAAGCAGGCCCAGGAAAGATACACGCATAGAAGAAACCCGAGAAGACCTAACCCTTTACCCTGGGCCGACAGCAACACTCAGAACAGATCCACCTCATTAGTGAAGAAGGTCTTTGCTAGCAAAGAACCAGTCTGCAAAACTGTGGCTGTTTTTTCAAATGCCCATTTTCAAAACAAAACACAACCCACAGGCATTCAAAAACAAAAACAAAAACAAACATGAACCACTGAAAGGTGGGAAATAAAGTGACAAATCCTGAAGAAACAAAGGCAATGGATATATTAGACAATTTTTTTGAGGTACAGTCAGTTTACAATGTTGTGTCAATTTCTGGTGTATAGCACAGTGCTTCAGTCATACATGAACATATACTCATTTTCATATTCTTTTTTACTGTAAGCTACTACAAGATATTGAATAGATTTCCCTGTGCTATGTAGTATAAACTTATTTATCTATTTTATATATGCCAGTCAGTATCTGCAAATCTCGAACTCCCAGTTTACCCCTTCCCACCCGGCAACCATAAGTCTGTATTCTATTAGACGAATTTTTTTTTAAACTGTCTTAAAAACCTCAAGGAAAACATGAACCAGGACCTAAAGGAAATCAGGAGACCAATACATAAACAAAATGAGTTTATCATGAAGAGATAGAAATTATTTTTTAAAAAAGAAGAAGAAAGGAAAAAACTAAAAAGAAATTCTGGAGCTGAAAAACAACTGAATTGAAAAAAATCACTAGAGGAATTCAACAACACACTCAAACAGGTAGAAGAATCAGTAAACTTGAAGGTAGGACATTTGAAATTGCTCAATCTCAGGAGAAACAAATAAATTTAAAGAAAAGTAAACAGAGCCAAAGGGACTTTTGGGACAGCATCAAGTGGACCAATTTACATTATATTATGGCCAACCAAGAGTAAGAGAGAGAAAGGAAACGGAGATTATTTGAAGTCTTCGCAGCCAAATGCTTACCAAATTTGAGGAACAACATAGATCTAAACTCCATGAAGCTCAATGAACTCCAAGTTGGCAAAA